ATATACATAAATACAAAATAATTAGTTAACTCAGCTATTTCTTCTTCATATAATTGCTAAATAATATACATAAATACAAAATAATTAGTTAACTAAGCTATTTCTTCTTCATCTAATTGCTAAATAATATACATAAATACAAAATAATTAGTTAACTAAGCTATTTCTTCTTCATCTAATTGCTAAATAATATACATAAATACAAAATAATTAGTTAACTCAGCTATTTCTTCTTCATCTAATTGCTAAATAATATACATAAATACAAAATAATTAGTTAACTAAGCTATTTCTTCTTCATCTAATTGCTAAATAATATACATAAATACAAAATAATTAGTTAACCCTTCTTTATCTAATTGCATATACATAAATACAAAATAATTAGTTAACTAAGCTATTTCTTCTTCATCTAATTGCTAAATAATATACATAAATACAAAATAATTAGTTAACTCAGCTATTTCTTCTTCATCTAATTGCTAAATAATATACATAAATACAAAATAATTAGTTAACTAAGCTATTTCTTCTTCATCTAATTGCTAAATAATATACATAAATACAAAATAATTAGTTAACTCAGCTATTTCTTCTTCATCTAATTGCTAAATAATATACATAAATACAAAATAATTAGTTAACTAAGCTATTTCTTCTTCATCTAATTGCTAAATAATATACATAAATACAAAATAATTAGTTAACTCAGCTATTTCTTCTTCATCTAATTGCTAAATAATATACATAAATACAAAATAATTAGTTAACTAAGCTATTTCTTCTTCATCTAATTGCTAAATAATATACATAAATACAAAATAATTAGTTAACTCAGCTATTTCTTCTTCATCTAATTGCTAAATAATATACATAAATACAAAATAATTAGTTAACTAAGCTATTTCTTCTTCATCTAATTGCTAAATAATATACATAAATACAAAATAATTAGTTAACTCAGCTATTTCTTCTTCATATAATTGCTAAATAATATACATAAATACAAAATAATTAGTTAACTAAGCTATTTCTTCCTCATCTAATTGCTAAATAATATACATAAATACAAAATAATTAGTTAACTAAGCTATTTCTTCTTCATCTAATTGCTAAATAATATACATAAATACAAAATAATTAGTTAACTCAGCTATTTCTTCTTCATCTAATTGCTAAATAATATACATAAATACAAAATAATTAGTTAACTAAGCTATTTCTTCTTCATCTAATTGCTAAATAATATACATAAATACAAAATAATTAGTTAACTAAGCTATTTCTTCTTCATCTTATTATTTTTTAATTGCTGAATATGTGTAATTTAGTAATCCACATTGTGTTGCTACATTATATACAATACAAATAATTATACTACTTATGATTGATTTAATTGAAGGTAACTTACATCTATCTTAATATCTACATCTTCATCAGTAGTAGGTACCACAGATGCCTTGTTCTTAGCTAATACTTTGTTATTTTTGTTATTATTCATTATCACAGAACCATTTTTTTGTTTAAACCCATTAGGTAATTGTACAGTACTTTTTTTCAAAGATATTTTACATCCATTTAATGAGGATTTACCATTTGCCAATTTGGATTTCTGAAAACAGTAAGAAATTTGATAAAAGAAGGAAGATGAATGTTGCAAAATAAGCTGACTTAGTGATGAGATCAGAAGCCATTTTCAAAGTATCAGACGCTTAAAAAATCTTATTCATTTATGGTATCTCTCAGGTTTTTAGAAAACAATTTAAACTATAAGTGGCAGATGAGAATGTTTTTTCTTTCTGCTACATAGATTTATACAGTGTTGTTCACAGGTTTTTTCTGTTTACAAATCGATATACTGAAAAATGTGTAGGTCATTCCTTAATGAAATTCTTCTCGAATCAGACATTGAACCATAAATTGGAATCAAGCACATAATTTTCCTGATAAAATGTAAAAAAAAATCCTTTGGAGAACAAGCACTAGCGCACTAAGTAAAAGGAAAATATGGATAAACTAAAATAAAAACAACCAAAAAACACATACCCTATAATTGCCAGATCCTCTTAAACTAGTTCTAGATTTAGCAACAGATAACATAGAACCTAACTGACTTGTCAGAAAGGCAGTCTACAAAATTAAAAAAATAGGATATAGCTCTAAGATAGCTGGGTAGATTTCAGGAAATTTAACCAACAAAAAAATAACAATAATCATTATAAGGAAAGCTTTTTTAGGAATGGTTACATACTGTATTCAATGAAAAAAGGTTATCAAATGTATTTGCTAATATCGACAGAAAATTGAAGCTGAAATTGCTCATTGAAACACCTCCAACCTCGAGGCTAGAATGTAGTCTATAGCCTACTGTCTATGGATATACATACCGGTAAATTCCACTGATTTACAATAGGTTTCTAGGTAAAAAATACAAAAACAACAAAAAATCACTACTAAATCATAGTACAGCACTCAAAATTGAGACAGACATGTACTTACATTAGTAGTCTGACCTTCTTTCATAGCTTTCTGAAGAGCTCGAGTTTGAGCTATCAGGTCATCTACCTTAGCTTGATGTTGAGCATGTAATAATCGTCTAAAATAAGATAATGGATTAGTAAATTGTTGGTACATGTAAGGAAAAGTACTCTTACTTTTATATTTTTCATTGGTTATCGAAGACTGGCATTGTGCAATGAGGTAAATTTCTAAAGGTATCTTTATGCACACAGAGTGTAAAATTTCAAAACTTACTTTTCTCTTGTAGCTACTGCTGAAAGCTGCATCCTGTCTTTAATGGCAAAAAAGAATGTTTCTTCTCTGGTTCCAGTAAAATATTCATATAAACTGGTCTAAAAAATAAAAATATCATATATTTACATGAATATTCATACTTGTTAATAGAAGTAGAACACTGCCACCATCACCTCTAGTTTTGGACTCAAGTTTATGAGAGAATATCTATGCACTTTACATAAGAACATTATCCAAGAGTTGCCTTCAATGCATGATATTTATATAATATTATTGACATTTGTAATTTTTTCCTCAAAAAGAGACTTATTTTTCTGACCGAGGTCAATGTTCATAAGATGGAATTGCGAAGAAAATAAACAGATGCTACTTGATAGTTATATGATTTTCTAGACCTGTTGATATAGGTACAAACTAACATTTTGAAAGGTAATATGAATCATATGATTGCAGACAATTCCTCTTTAATATTCTAAATACTTATTACGGAAGTCAAATCAAGTATGAAATACTACATAGACAAATACTAGTGTACAAACCTGAACATCTTCATTACCACTAAATAATAAAGCACACATAAAGGCTAGTAATTCTCGAACAATATCATCAACTGGTCTTGATAAATGATTACATAAACTATCTACTACACCATAGGAATTGATAGCTGTTTGAACTGATTCTATAGTCTTTAGTAATCTAAAAATCAAATTAAAGAATTACTTTAGTTATATAACAGTATACATTGCTAAGAGCAAACTCACTGATCAGGTGCACAACTAGAATATTCCACATATAAATTTACTCATGAACTTTTTTATAATTTTTCTCTCTGATGCCCCAACTTGTGTTATTGTGGTTTCTGTCAGAAATTATGTTCAAGAGGTTGCTTTCACAATAATTTTGATTTTTTACATTCCAAAAAAAAACATTTTGTTAATTAGGATTAGGTAAATAGTTCAACAACCAAGTTAACAGAAATTACATTCACATGCAAATATAGCTTAACATACAGTAAAGAGCTTTTCTAAATAGGATCAATTTGCACCATTTCAATATTCTGTGGTTGCAGCAATTCCACTAAAATTAGTGATTAATAATATCACTAATCACAAATTATGTTTCATCACATAAGGCCCTTTGCGATTAGTGATGTAATAAAACCTCTTTACAATTCATTTAAAATCAAGACAATCAAAGCTGTTTAAAAGGGGAGTATTTCAAACTCTGCTTTAACACTATAATATAAATCCTTAAAAAAAAATAAATGCATACTCTCACTTTAAGATTGTTAGTTGACCTAAATTCCACTTTACTAGTAATAGCAAAACAGATACACTATTAACACATAGCTTTTATCAATATAGATTTACTAGTGTATGTTTTAGAAAAAAGCTGTACAAGCGTATGTTTTAGAAAAAAGCTGTACAAGAGAATGTTTTATACGGAGCCCCTAAGGTGCAATTTTCCGTACTTTAATAAAATATTTTGTTTTAACGAATTAATTATTTTGCTATTTCGAAATAACTAATTCATTTAAACAAAATAACAAAATATTTTTAAAAGTATTGAAAATTGCGCCTTAGGGACTCCGTAGTTTTAGAAAAAAGCTTACAAGTGTATGCTGTTGTCTATGTTTACAAGGCACTAAATTATGTTTTTAAAAGCCCGAAGTAATTTTTTTGTAAAGGGTACAAACACTTTTGAATTAATTTCTACTGATCTGAAACAACAATGCCAGCAGATGATTTTAAATCTACTTTAGTTGCATAAAGATACATGTGCACATGAAATGATGTTAACAAACTTTTAACAAAAATGAAATTATTAATAAACACGTCTATGATAAAAGTAACAGCAAATGAATATACTACAAAACAAAATCAACATATATACTAAGGAATGAAATTAAGCAAACATCACACACAAAAAAATGAACAATAATAATTTTGATTATCATTTCAGTTTGTAACTTACTTTTTATGTGATTGTATATCAGCCTCCCAGTCGAACGGTAGTTTCACTATTTCATTATGAATTAAACCACGTAATAATTTTAAACATTTGATATCTAGTTGAGTTTGATCTAGTCTTTCTTTCTCTGACAGGTTTGTTAGGTTACTTGAAATCCTGTAAATTATTAGAAATTATATAACAATTTTCAGAAACAATGCAATGACGGAGAGTTTCTGTATTCCAAAATAACCTCAAAAAAACAACCAAACAAAAGATTTAATTCTTTTCTTTTATGTAACTTGGAATCATTAAATTAGTTGCTGTCCCTTAAGGCTGAGGATACTTGGTGAGTGAAATCACCTGCTTGCTAACCTAGAGGTTCAGGGTTTCATTTGGCATATGATATCTTATGTCTACCCTATTTCCTCTGTCAGCCTCTGCAGGTCAGGGGAACTGTCATAAAGCAGATGGTACAAAGTAAGAAAACAATTACTTACAAAAGTTGTCGTACTAATTTTTCTGCCAATCTATATCTTTTAGTAGGGTCTTTAGTGTGAGAATCCACAAAACATTTTAAATGATTCTGAAATTCTTGACCTAATGGTAAATCTTCATCTTCACCCTTTTCACTGTATTCTAAGAGGATAAACAGTAAAAATATAAACTACAGCTGGTTGGAAATTGTGACACCTAAAACCCTTGTCATGTCAGTACCCATGCTTTATATTACAAAAACACAGGAACTTATTCTGTTGGTTGATTGTTGGTTTATCTGATTTATCCCATGTTATTTTAGTGAATTTTACAAATTTCAATGAATATAATCTCAATAAAAATTACCAGAACTGTTTTTAAGCTTTTATTTAAATTCACTTTAGCGTGTGATAACTTAACTTGTGGGGTCAAAAATTCATTTGGGATAGTTTTAGTTTTTTATTACCCTATGGTTATGATATGATACAACATAATGGTTTTAAACATAATATCACCTTAGGATGTGTTATTTTCTAAACAAAAAATTTACCTTGATCAGAAGGATAGCCTATTTGATTTTCTACTGTATTTACACCACCATAAGATAGTTCCATATTAACAACAAATACATTTAAATTAACATTAATTTCTTCTTCTGCTGCATAATACTCTTCATACTTCTACAAAATTATACAATTACATCATCAAATAAATATAACACTTGTAAGATATAATATAAGGATCAACATGTGATGAACCAAATCAAATAGTGTTTTTTAATATTTATATATTCTACCAATCTTTAATAAAATTTTTCTTTTGAAAACCAGCGGTTGCTGGTAATGCTCTATTGTATTCACAAGCTAGTGTAGTCATTCAGACAACTGGACAGCTGAAGACAACCTGTGGTCAAGACCTTACCTTTCTGCTATCACTATGAATATCACTGCCACTTAAATGACCATATGTATTGTGAAATTCCTCCATTTTCTGTCAATAAAAACAAATAAACAATTATTTACTGTCAAAATAAACAAGTATTCAAGGGCTAATCAAGTGAATTCCTATCAATATTTGTTTATGATCAATTATCATCAATGCTATAGACGTGGTACCAGGCAGGGTACACCTGATACCACATTCATAATAGAAATACTTACTCATTTAGGATTGATAAACTTCCTTATGTGAAAAGTTCATTAACTGCTACAATATGTTATTTTGTATTTTGGGATTATGTTTTACGGTTCAGATAGTTAGTACTTGGTTTGTTGATTCTAATTATTTTTCTTGACATATTCTACAATTCACTGATTTACTTTTACTTGATGTCCAACAGGGGATATTGATAAACAGACTTTGAGATGCCCTGCTGGCAAAAAAAGACAAATCAATGTTCCTGTCATACAGTAAAGGAAAATCAATAACAGGAAGATGGTACTTACAGATTTTGAAATGGCATTAGTTGCTGTGATTAATCCAGTCATGGCACCAAGAAGATTTTTGAGTTGAGTTTCATCACATACTAATGGTGCAATGACTTCTAAAAATGCCTAAAATTTTCACAAAAAAAGGTTTTTCATTTCTACATTGTCAATATACATAAGAGCAATGTTCATGGGATGGACTGTTAATGTGATTATAAAAAAATCTTGTCAGAGATATTCTACAATTCAATGAATATTGAATGGTTGTCTCTATAGCAGTGAGAATTTTAAATCACATATTTTTCAAGATGTTTTTAGATACAAGAATCACAAGACATGCACTTCCAGTCAACAAAATCTATTCTAATGAACTTGCCCTTGCAAGAACTTACCTCATAATCCAAGGCTAATTGTGATAACTCTTTTTTCTCATTAGGAAACATAGAATCTGGTTGATAGTAGCTTCTACAAAATATCTGTAACAACAATAAACATAAGGCATAAACAACAACAAACACAAATATATCAACAGAAACAGTTATTATTTATAAATCTTGGACACTGATAGAGCATTGATTTGCACAATTCCAATTTTCATTCGGGCCTCTGTGGTTCTTGCAATTCTGCTTAAACTAAGCCTTTTATTATGTAGCTATTGCAAAGGCCCTTCGACAGCTTTTGCAAAACTGACGAGATCGAACAAGTGGATTTTACTAAATGCAAATTAGATAAAGACAAGGAAAAATTGTTTTTCAATCAAACAATGATTCTTTTCAAAAGTTTCAAATTGAAATTTACCTGTAGAAATTGCATGACACCATCAAATATATAATGTAATGTTCCTCTCATATTCTCTTTTTCTAGAGTACTCTTATCACTGTCAAATATAGATATCAAAATGTCAACATATTATAGAATGTTTTAAATTGATTTACATTGTGAGAAACCTATAGGAGCTGCAATATTCCCAATCTTTTAAGTCTAATCATTGTTAACTTGCAAATGCAGTCTTATTATCATGTACTAAATTCATAATACCAATTTTCACACATTTAAAAAAATTCAGTTGAAAACCAAAAAGGATATAGTGTTTTCTACGTTCAGGAACAAGGGCAAAAACCTTGTTTCTAATAATTACACAGTAACTATATTTATGATGAGAGATGTGGCTATGTATTAGGCTTTGGGGAAAAGGGGCAGGAGATTCTCTCAAATTTATTATCCTGAATGAAATAAAAAAATTAAACATTAAATCTTGTTTTCAATGAAAAAAAGAAGTGCAAGAAAGTGCAAATAACTTACGTTTTATTATTTTTCTGTGAAGAACTGTGTACATAAAGGCAATGAAAGAAAAATAGATAAAAATAAAAAAATATAAAGCAAAATAAACAACATCACAAAATCTAGACATGTAAATAATTCATAACAGAAAGTGAAAATATGTTTTGGAAATTCAGTGATAAATAAACAGAAAATGAAATTCTGAAATTGAAAATGTATTTAAGCGTCAAGAGGCTAAATAGTCAGACTTGAACAAACCTTTTTGAAGGAGGTCGTTTTAATAGCTGTTTTGTTTCTTCCTTATTGTTCTCAACAAACAATTTGACCTTTTTTAACTTCTCACTTGTACTCTTCAGGAAGTCCCACATATTTCTGAAAAAAAAAAGTTTTTTGCACAATAACTGTGATGTCAACTTACCAATTGCAAAGATCTTATATTTCTTTATCAATAACCATTCTATGGCAAACATGCATTCTTATGCTTATTTCACCTAGCCTTACTAAGTCATAAAAACCAAATTTTATAAGAGAAATCGTCACACTTACTTATCATGTGGCAAGTCTCCAGCACCACTTTCAATCATACCACTAGCTGTATTCATATATACCCAGAGTAAAAATCTTAAAAATGGTTTCTTTAAATTATCATGTACAGATGGATGATTTAAAACTTTTAATAAATCACCTATTTTAAATATGGTTTGACAAATTGATTCAATAAATTGGTTTTCACCCTGAAATGTACAATCATTCCAAAATCAGAGATTCCACATAAATAATAAGGTATTTACATAAGCTTACTTCATATTTGAGTCGCAGAAATGAGCCTTCAAACCCACATGTGTCCAAAATTATCGCTGGTTTGAAAGTTAAAAAAAAAAGCGTTGTCTCTTTTGGAATAAAAGGTAAAACTAACCCCAGCACATGTAGCTAATAAATCAACCATAGATATCAAATAATTTAATTCATCAGAATCTGATGTTAATATTTTCTCTCTGTAAATAAAATATAACATGTATTCATTGTTGTTAATTTTCTTTGAAATTTTCACTGTTCAGAATAGTGCCAGTGTTTTTTGAAGAACATTACATATCCTAGTATCATTTTAAAGAGATAATAAAGGTGTTTAGCCTATTGTGTGAATTCAGTAGCCTATACTTTTAATTACAGAAAAGGCCAGAAACCAATGCATTTTGGTAGATCATGAATTCCAAACACATCACGTCCAAAAATAAAGGCCATAATAACAACAAACATACCTTTCATCTTCTGGTTGATCTATAATATAAGCTATTTCAGACCTATACTGCATAAAATACGTCATCACAAAACTCTGATTTCTTTTTAATGGTAGATCTAGTTCTTCCACTTTCACTACAGCATTTAATAAATTTAAAAACTGTGGCACTTTAGATTTATGTTTAGCTATTAAAGTTACTATCTTCATTACATGATGACTTTGTATTTTCATACAGGTGGTGGAGTTACCAGTGAAGATCTAGAAAAGATAAAAATTTCAACTGGATTCAATAAATCAACAAGCTAATGGATTTGAGAAAACAAAGAATGAATATTCAAATAATAAAAAAAAGATTTATATTTTAATAATTTGATGCAAAATTGGTTTTAATTGTAAACATGACAAAGCAAAAATATCTGGCTGCCAACAATCAACACCACATAGAAGATCATCATATTTGGTATTATATATGGAATTTAAATTGCATCCAATAATGATAACAAAATTCATGTTCATTCTTACTTTGAAAATATGGAATTTAACAGTAGGCTACACAGATGTATCAAAATTTGTAAAACATTGTACAATCATTTTAGGTGTTTCCATTTATTTTAAAACAGAAATTTTCCATTTTACTTTTACCTCTGCTTCCGATCATGATATGGATTTATCTGAATATGTCAAGTGAATCAGCACAACTCACTTCTTAATATTTTTTTTACTTACCTCTGTTAATAAATCAGCTAACTGTGATGGGGCCCCTTCTTTATATAATAACAATTCTAATCTATCGAATAATCGACCTTGAACTATCTTATTATTTTGGGCCATAGATTGTAATAATACAAATGTTTTCTGGAAAATCTTTTTCAATCCACCATATTGATCCTAGGGAAAAAGGTAAAATACAATACTGTTAATGCTGAATATAGGAATAATTCTCAATAAAAATTTGGACAAAGAAAATTAATCATTTTTCAATAATTAGGCATAACTTTAGTCCATGCCAGCATGAATAACTAGACTTTTTCTATCTAAGACAACCATTAAGGACAAATTCCTCTTAATCCAAAAAGTAGTTCAATTGTCACTAGCTGTGATTTCAATTTTTTTTTTTTAATTATTATTTTTATATATACTACTAATATAAATATTCAGGGTAGAATTGATTGCCTCCTAATGTTTTTGAGTAACAGAAATGGCTAAGACTTACCAATAATTTGATATCAATGGCTTGAGACAAGATTGTTAGAGCATCTTCCAATACACCTATATAATAAGATAAATTTATTACATTTTGTTGAAGACAGATAATCATTTAAAACTGATATATTTACAATCCATTATCAATAAGTTGTTCATGATGGAAGCACTGGGTTGGTTAGTTCTAAACATGTTCCCCCTGTTCTAATTCAAACTTCCAATTTTCATTAGCCCACATGGTGCAGAAAAGTAGGACGTAAAACTTCATTAATTTCATTTCATTATCTAATTGGAGTATACAAAATCTACCCTTCTATTCCTTTCTCAACCATTTTGATTTCTGTCTACACCTACATTTTTTTCGACATGTGGAGAGCATTCTTAATCCTGCTACAAATTGCTTTATTAAACTTCCTCACCAATAGAGCGCACCCTAACTTACCATGATTGTACAGAATTTTCTGGTTCATAAAATGGCGTTCATCTGCTTCACCTTCTAACTGGCACATTCTGTAAGATCAAAATTTATTTCAAGCACATTTTTAAAAAAATCAAAATAATTTCAAGCACATACTGTAAAAAGCAAAATTATTTCAAGGGCATTTCACAAAAATAAAGATGTATTTCAATTCAGAAATATTATTCATCATCTGATATTTTCAAAATGGAGAACATTGTTTTTGTTTAAAGAAGAGTTAAATGAAATATAATTAAAGATATTAGAATTTCAAAAATGGTCTGTTGGTGAATAATATGATAACATTTTTCGAATTCAACATGGTTTTGTTTGAAAAAGATAAATTGCCACTTGTAAAACTTACAAAATAAGTTCATCAAGGATATCTGCTAGTTGTAAAACCTGGTCATCATTTAACTTGGCGGTAGCTAGACGTCGTAATACTGGTAAAATTTGACTTAATCTGGACATGATATTCACTGAGTTATCAGTTATTAATACCTGTATTATAATTATAATAATTACATAAAAAAACTTTCATCAGTTTATAATCCTTGCTTAAGAGAAAACAAAATTTAATTAGGAGAAAATAAAATTCTTAGCATAAAATCTCTATGTAAATAAATCAAAAATATTGAAAGCTAGCAATAGAAGAAAATTCCTAACATGTGTAGCCTCAGACTGGTCACTCTAAGAATGGAACATATACAATTGAATCAGATACATAATAAAAATGAGCAAAACAGGAAAAATTCTCTTACCTGAGCTTGTATGGCTTTATTAAAGAGATTTTGATGAAATGAGTAATATCTGTTTAATATATGCATTGATTTACATAACATCTCATCATAATCATAATGAGATAAATCCTGCAAAGAATATAGTATGCAATTATAAAATTTGGAAATACTTCTGTATAAGATTTCTCTTCTTCAATTTAACTGTTGAGGGACTTATCAATTACACTGTATCTTGTCCCATCCAAATGACAAGACATTTAATATGTCACCCTCTCAGAATGAAAGCACTACTAATACTATCTTGACCTTCGTAAAGATAGAACCTCTGCTAGCTAGGTTTGAAATGTCATAGCATAATAATGATATTTACCAAGAGGATTTCTGTAATTTCATAATTTTTAAAGAATTCGGTTTCTTCAAATATATTTTGTAATACTTTACACGCTGATTTTGCACCACTGAAAAAAATAACAGCAATACTTATCCAAATCTAAAAGTATATTACCAAATTTTGCTAGGGGCCGCTCTCTCTTTGAGTTTCGCACGTTTGGGATTTATGGAATCAACAGAAAGTTGAATAAAACTAGTTGGAACAGAGTTCAGAACGTGTCCCATGTGTATCGAAAAAATAGTAGGTGAAGACAGAATTCAAAATGGCAGAGAAGGAAATAGATGGGAACATTTTGAATGAGAAATTTCCGCTTTCATACTGGTTTGGGGGCAGAATTGGAACAGATGTATTCTGTTCAGAACTCTCCAATCACACTACACCTTAGATTACCACAGAACAATTTCTTCAGAGGTATAAACCAAAATATCCACTTTCTTTACACAGAAATATAAAAGCCAATGAGTTCCTACCCAGAATGAGTTTCTAACTCAAATGTTTCGAAGAGTAAAACACCAAGTTCTGGAGTCATATTAGGTTTACTGGCTTGATCATTGGTTGTTTTAAATGATAACATTAACCTCTGTAAAATAAACATAGTTATTTCAGTTCTACATAGCAAATACAGATTATTTTACCTAATCTAAAATATTCATGAATGAGACAACCAATCAAGTTCAACTTTATTTCTGCTTCAATCAAAGTCTTCCCCAAAAATAAAAGCAAGAAAACTCCTTCTTAACACACTCTTTGTTAATTTCTATAATTGGTTCTTATAAATTTGAACTTACTTCCATTCGTAGGTTAAAAATAAAATTAAAGAATAGATCCATCACTTCTAAAGCTCTGAAAAATAAACATCCACTAATTATTTCATTTGTAGTTTTTCATTAGTTGTCTATAAAAAACGGAGTACTAAAGCCTTTACAGACACCAGACTTTGCATTTTTTTCTATTAATGATTTGTGAATTTTATGCGAGTTTTGTCATTTAATGAAAAAATAATTTTACTTACTGTAATTTAGCATCAACAATAGCCTTGGTTTCAGGAGATTTCTGATAACGAGCAACTTGATTAAAATATTTCAATACCTCACTATTTTTAGTACCTGAAAAATTCAAAGTTATTAGAAAATAGAGTTCCTGAACCTCTTCTGTTAAAAAATCTGTAGACTTTGTATGTGTATTTGCATCACTCTTATTTCCTGCTTGAGAGGAATTCTCAATTTCAATTGGCCAAACACCATTATCAGCAACCCGTGGCAGCGTACCATGCCAACCAACTGTTAACAATGATATCCAGCCCAGAAGAATTGGATGAATTGGTACACCCTGAGAAAGCCAGCAAATAGCAACACTAGAAAGGTGCTGTCATGGAACCTTCTGGGAATTAGGAAGTCAGAGAACCAAGCATACTTAAGGCGGATAGTCAGAAGATAGGATACATCTAGGAACCAACTAGAGAGGGGAGCTCAGTACTGAGGACTCTACATCCTTTCACACATTACTTGCTGAAACTCAAAGACAAAGGACAACAACTAAGACCTACCAGAAACATTGGGATATGGTTTATCATTTCTACCATCTAATAAACTCATTAAAGGTGCTAGTAATTCTCTGATATCTTCTGTTTGATAGTAAAAACCATACACCACTAAATAATATACTAATCTAAGCACCTAGAATCAGATCCAAAAATTATACAAAATGTAGAAAAACCTTCTAAAGAGGCTATGTTTTTTGGTTAGAGTTAAATATTGATATAAGGTGTGATTCAGTTCTATCAGTCAGTCAAAAAAAAATTTAAATGACTACATGTATATCAATTTTGGTATTTGTTGGAAAATGAATAATATGAAGCAATACTCATCAGCTAAAACTCACATTTGCATCAGTAACCTTTTAGGGGTTTCTGTCAATTTGGACAAAAACTGATGCCTACCTGTTTAACGAACATATTATTACCAATCTCTGAAGCAGTCATATCCCCATTTGAAGCTAGAAATTTGGTGATCCAATCTCTAATTTGTGGGAAATATTGATATGTTGGTGATGAACTCATATCAACCTGAGCTTCAGCTTTAGATATCAGATCATAATTATATGATAGCTTTACTCTATCAATTACAGATATATTACTACCAATATCAACAAATAGAGCTGAAATTATACAATAATTGCTTTATAGATAGAGCTGAAATTATACAATAATCGCTGTATAGATAGAGCTGAAATTATACAATAATCGCTGTATAGATAGAGCTGAAATTATACAATAATTGCTTTATAGATAGAGCTGAAATTATACAATAATCGCTGTATAGATAGAGCTGAAATTATACAATAATTGCTTTATAGAGCGAGCTGAAATTATACAATAATTGCTTTATAGATAGAGCTGAAATGTATAGAATTATCCCTTTGTAAATAGAGCTGAAATGTATAGAATTATCCCTTTGTAAATAGAGCTGAAATGTATAGAATTATCCCTTTGTAAATAAAGCTCAAATTATACAATGATCACTATATAAATAAAGCTCAAATTATACAATGATAGCTATATAAATATAGCTCATAATGATTACTTTTATAATGGAGCTGATATCATACAATTTTTACTTCAATTAAACAGATATTTCAATAACCGGAGTTATGATCGTGCTTATGTCCCACACCAGTAAGAATTCAAACAAAATATTATGAAGCCAAAAGAAAAGAGTATTAAATATAATGTACAACTTACTGGTAATGAGATCACAATATTTAGCACGTAGTCTATCAGGTAGTCTGTTGTCAGATAGACAGGTAAACGCTTCATTCCATGTTAAATAATCTAATTCTTTAGTTATAACACTGATAGAAAACTCATTCTGTCCCTATATTTAATATAAACAAACCTATTCAACTCTTGTCCTTACTGGCATAAGCAAATGTTCATAACAATCAGATGAAAAATGCGTTTGAAATTGCTTTTTCAATGCATGTATCGTAGATTGCACAGGGAATGAGTAGAATCAAATTAAATCTAATATGTTAAACTTTAGTTTGAGCACCAATTATTAAGGGATATACATGTGGTACTCTAAATGGAGCTCACTTTTCATAATCAATATCTGAGGTTTGTTCTCTAGCAATTCAAACAATATAGACTTTGTTCCTTTTAAATCATACTATAACATACTGTATACTTACATGACACAACATTCTAAATAATTCTAACTGATGTTCTAAAAATAGATAGGTTTCATTCGACTCAGCTTCTGTATGCTAAAATACAAGACAATAAAAGTTCTAAAGCAGCTGAATCAAGTGTTGATACTCTTTGATGTTAGTTCAAGAAAAGTTATAGTACCAAGATATATACTGTATAATTGTGAATATATCGCACACCATTTCTTACCCTTCAGTAAAACTGTAATCATGAATAATTTGTTCAAAAATACGTAATATAACTCCAGCTATATAGCTTATATCACCATTAATTTTACTTCAAAAACTCTTTCCCCTGATTTACAAATACATGTCCGTCCAACTGTATATGTAGTAATATTATAAACTTACTGATTTAATGGCAAATTGATGTAATTCTTTCCATAATCTACCATTATTAGTTGATACATAAACAGTTCCTGGTTCTTTACCAATTTTCTCACCGAGATCAGTTAAATAAACACAATTCTGTAATAAATATAACACATAAATTAGCACAATATTTTTTTTTTTTATTGCAGACAAATTGCATATTTATTTATAATATATTCTTCCTCTTTCTGAACATATACTTAGAAAAGTTGTTGGTTTGATTTGTTTGTATTGTGATCAATTCGCTTACATCCCTCAATAGCTATCAATTTGTCACTTCCAAGAGAAAAAACTTATCGCTATATATGGCTATGTATGTATATTTGTTACAATATTGAATATAATAAGTTTTATCTATATATTGAAGCCTAGTTAATAAGTAGTTTTAGAGAGACCATTTAAGTATTGAAGTATCAGCTATTACAGAGACATTATCTCCAATAAAGTACTCAAAATCCCACATTTAATAAAAGTTACAAAAGCATGCTTTTAAAAGATTGATGGTTTGTCAACAAAGAACATGTGGTACATTACAAACGGTACACATTCTGTATATACAGCAGAATTATATTAGTAAGCACATTTCAGAGTGTTACACTGCAGTTTTAAACCTGTGTTTTGAGTTTAAACTTTGTGTTAACTTCAAACATGTGCCGAAAATCAAAATGAGGATGATTTTAATGGTATATATGGTATTATTACAAGCAGACTACAATTCAGACAACATACCACAAAACCAACTGCTGACATATTAACATGATCTAAACTCTGAAAGAGTCAAAGTTATTTCTCCAATATGATTTTTGGATTTCTAACTCACAACTACTCATTCAAAATACATAAATATATGTGCAATGGGGCAATTTTTTTTGCATATATCATACTCAAAAAGTTGCAACCCAGTACCATTGAAAAGTTTAAGGGTCTTTTTGCTATATCTCCATGCTATGATTTTTATGGGAAAATATTGCTTAGTTATTTTGATTTCACAGTAAGTATAAGATTTTTAAATTACCTTATTTCCTTTCATCAACCAAGCCTCTGTTATATATTTCTGATTATCAGCAATAGAAACACCATCACAAACACATAACACACTTAATAAATCTAAATACCGATAATTCTGAAACACAAATGTTATTCTAGTTTAATACGACTAGAGATAAATGGCCTGATGTACTCTGCGCAAAACTTCTGATGAAAAGGCCAGAGTGTGATCAGAAGCCTAAAGTTTGTTCGGCACAACAGCTAATTTCATTGTCCTAATCAAGGGTATTTGAAAAATATCTATTAAAATAAACTACACATTGTAGGTTAAAATATGAATTTGTGACTAATATTATGATAAATTAAAGTGAATATAATACCTTTTCTCTATGTAATCTTTCAACAAATTGATTAATATGATCATGTGTTATTCTATCAACTATTTTTCTATTATCCCGTATCAATTCCATTACCATATGGGCTGCATTTAAACCAATTTTACCCTACAATTAATACAAAGATCATGTTAATCAGAAAAATCATGGTTTCCAGAAAATCAATCATGATAATCAGAATATCATGATTATCAGAAAGATCATGTTAATCAGAAAGATCATGATCTTTAAAGAATCATGACAAGCAGAAATATTATGATCTTCAGAGAATCATAAGACTTGGAATGCTCCTGGTTTTCAGGGAATCATCGAACTCAGAAAGAATATGATCTTCAGAACATCTTGACATTCAGAAAGACAAAAGTCTTCAGAAACAAAGACATTTATATTATTATATTAATTTTTATTTTTTATTTGTCCAGTAGTAAATTAGTATATGAGTGTGTATATTGATATTTTCTCTCTTGCAGTTTGGAAATAATTGAAGAAAACTGTCCAATTGGATGTGATCATATTGGTATTTCAATAACAGCACTTGCAATCTTAAAGTAAATACTGTAATTACCTCCTTATATTCAAACTGTGTCAGGAAAAAGTCTATATATTTAGCAATATACAGTTCATTCTTTCTACTGTTACCCATTAAATAAGAATATAATACTGAATATGCTTCTACGAATATCTTTGTTAGATGCCTGAAATTCAAAATATATATCATTGTCATCCAAAAGTTTATATAATAGGGCAGAAAGTAATGTTTGATACAAAAATATAAAAATGACAAAAACAAACCATCGAACTGATTTTATTTCATAAATTGTTAAGAAACTTGTAGTAAGGTGTATTGAGACGAATCTTAAAGAAAGCACTGGTATAATAATACAAGAACTTACATTTGATCAGGAGAACCACGACATGGTATTTGTAATAAATTAGCTAATAAATCTACAATCTACAATAAATAAATAACAATGTTAATAAAAATAAACTTCATGGTCTGGCATGGACTTTCCAATACAGCAGAAATACTTCTTTGCCTTCAGGGGATGTCATTTTCCTTTTAGTAATAATTAGATCATTTCAAGTAAAATTTTAGTGGTCAAGAAGTGGGCTGAGGAGCAAGGCTTATAAAATCTAAGAAATATTGATGAAATCGTGGGTTAGGTTCTAGTTTCTGTAAAATAATGTAGAAAAATATCTGCAAAAGTCCAATGTGTCCTTGGCTTAACAACTTGTTCCCTACCATCACTGGTTGAAATTTTTGCACTTCAGTACACTAGTTATGAAAATTAGTTTGTCAGGATCCAAAACATACAGTCCATGATCAAACCTCTGTTGTCTATGCTTTTCTCTCCAGTTACAAATTCAACTATGCTTACCCTTAAATTTCTCATTAACTTTTGTCTATTTTTACTTGGTACACTGTTCTCTATCATAAATTCTGCCATTTCTTTTAATGCCTACAATATAACATATATATCATGAAATCATAGGTTTAATGCATGTTTCAATAAGAAATGGTTATTGAATCTAATTACAATCAAATCAGAATTAACATCAAAATTTCTTTACAAATATTGTATCATAGGTTTTCTTAGAAAAAATTCATTTCCATAAAAACTATGATAAATTGATGTTTTTTATGACTAATCAAAAGATATACTTACAGTGATAATTTCATGAGTTGATTTGGCATTCAATACCATATTATTCTTTTTCTGTAAAGAGAATATTCATTCATACATGAATAAACAAGGACTTCTATAGAAACAAAATGTTTGTAAGTAGAAGAGATCATTTCCAAATTTTGTGACAAACATCACAAACAAGTTATGAAATCAGGAAGAACCACAAGTGATGTTTCCAAAATTTTCACAAACATATCAGTGAAATGAAACAAAATGCTTCAATTTATGAATATAAGGCGAACTCGTTGATCATTAGAGGGTGGCTCAATCCAAGATGTACCAGTTAAAATAATGAGCATTATACAAGCAAATATACAGTATATGTATAACTTCTATTCATTATACAAATATCTATATTTTTATATAAATTTTGTTAACATCAAGCCGAACCATTAATAAATTTTGAAATCACTGAAACAGTTGATGAGATATTGGGGTAATTTTTAAATTAATATATGTATTATGATCAAAAAATGAATAAAGTGTTCTTACATCAGTAACAAGTTTCTGTATACAAGGTACCATACCAGCCATATAATTAAATATCTGACACAGTTCACCATCAACAGCCTGTACAGTAAACGCATCATCATATTGCTTTTCTTTAATAGCACCAATCTGAAATTATTGTCAAAGTTCAATTATATTTGTACCAAGTAAAAGCTCTATCAGCTGGTAACGCAGACAATATCCCTCCGATTCCCATTAGATACATGTTAAGAAAAAAAACATACAATTAGCATGCAAAGAAAAATGTTGTTCTTGAAACTTAAAGCTATTAGTGAATTAAAACATGTACAAAATTATTGGTTTTTTTTCAATGTGTTTGGAAAGGAAACAGCGTTTTCTGCAGCTGAATGGGCTAATGAAAATAGGCAAATTCATGCAGTGTGCAAGAAAGAAAATATTGCCAGGACAGTGGTATACCTAGCTAGTGTTCATTATTGGACTTAAAAAACTGATTTCTCAATTAATGGGACTGATCACAGGATTTTCTTTCACGTTCGGAATCCAGGTAATAAGTTCAGAATATTCATAATTATAATATAAAATACAGCTAGGTGATATGTTACTTAAAATAGTTCATTTTCAATAAGACAAATCATAATTTTATAATCAATATGAATTATTTTCAATCATGACCTATAGTATTTCTAAGTGTTTAGAAGTGTTGTGACCAATAGACTACTAAGTGGTTGCTAATGGTAGATAATAGTTGATAATAGACAATATTATCATAGTAACTAAACAATATATAGGCCTACTTTTAAAGATGTGTTCCTATTTTTTTTTAAATTTAAAATTAAGAACTTAGACACAGGCATATTCACAATGTCAAGCTATTATGAAATTCATTCCTTGACTGAAATAGCAACCTTTCTTGTATGACTGAAGTTTGTAAATGCACCGATTTTAACTGATTTACATTAGAGAATACAGCAAATCATAGCCCTCGATAGACTGTAAACAATATTGCTTATTGTTTACAGACTTTCTTTCGAAGACTCTGAAAAAGGCAGCTGATTTGTTGAAGTTTCAGTATTTCAAAAATCCGAAAATATATATCACACACTCAAAGAATCCCAGACTTCTACGCCAATGTCAAATAGGTTTGCATATTTGTGACAAGAAATGTCATATTCCAATCTTAAGGTACATCAATTTTGGATTTAAGGAAATCATGTCTATTCTGTCACCTGTTCAAGAATAATTGTTATGTATGTATTACATAGATATATATAAGAGCTAATGGTTGTGCTTCAAAAATCCTGACTAGACCATGACGTCAAGTCATGAAATTGTAATGCAGAGTCTCGTGAAAAAACGAGTCACCTTTTAAACTTTCTAACACGGATAATTCTGGACACACATGGATATTTTGACGGTAAGCTGTGAACACTATTAATGATTAAGAATTTCTGTTTTAAGACTAAGGTACAATTAGTCAAATACATGGCGAACCTGTCCCTTTAACTTAAAATGTTTTAAGTGCTTATGCTGATTTTTCTCAAAACAATAGAAGAACAATAAAAGCGATGGCCCAAATAGTTTGTCATAGATTTTTCTACCAACAAAATCAATAAAGAATCAATTAATAATAATTAGAACAAATAAGTACAAAAATAATCATATATTAAACATGACACAAAGCTAGAAATAAATAACACTACACAATAACATTCATTTCCAATTAGTGCTCAATTACAAGTTTTTTTCATCTCAACTCTAAAAGGATTTCATGTAACAATATCAAGTTGGAGACGGTGGAGAATTCATTTTTATTCAGAATAAATTTTCATCCTATACACCATTACAGAATGGATCAGTCAAAGAAAAAATAAAAAACATTCAGAGTACAACATCAATGCTATAAAAATATGTCAACCAAGTTGCTTACTCTCACAGTCCTGTTAGCCTAACAATAGCAGCATGCAAAAAACAATATAAACAGTGTCATTAACATGCACAAAACATGCATCAATACTAGCTTCAACATTACAATTCTTATTATTCAACTATTATTCAATTATATTGTTTCTTTTCATTATTGAATACTTCCTCTTTTAATACTCATATTCTTACTAAACTTAAAAGATGCAATCAGTATTGCCAATATGTTGCTATGGATTTTAGGTTTTGTTTTGCAGTGCTGGCTGTTCGAACCTTTTTTAAGGTGGAAATTCCCACAACAAATAAATTATACATCAAAATCAAATCAAACAATTTTTTGATATTTAAATAAATATTTATTGTTAATGAAATTGAAATAAAATGATTCTTTGATATTGAAATGAATAAAATGATATTTCAATATTGAAAACAATCAAATAAAAAATATTGAAATAATTTTGTTCCTATCAAATGAATTATTGAACGAATTAAATGATCTTTTATACTGAATAAAATGAGTTTTTTGATATTGAAATGAATATGATTTGTTGATATTGAAATGAATACAAAGAGTTTTTGATATTGAAATGAATGAATATGATTTTTTGATATTGGAATGAATTTGTATTTTGATATTGGAATCAATATGTTTTTTTGATATTGAAATGAATAATATGTTTTTTTGATATTAAAATGAATATAGATATTTTGATATTGAAATGAATCAAAAGATGTTTTGATTGGAATGAATCAAATAATTTTTTGATATTGATATCATTCAAATGACAAGGTTTTTCTTTTATCTCAACAATTATTAAATGCCTTTTGGATATTGAAATCAATCTAATAATTTGTTGATACTGAAATGAATAAAAATATTTTAAAATTAACTGAGTGTTTATGTATCATATTATATTAGCATCATCATAAATTGACTAATCATTTATGTATCTGAGTATACAAACAGCACTATAATGAACTAAGTGTTTATGTATCTGAGGATACAAACAGCACTATAAATTAACTGAGTGTTTATGTATCTGAGTATACAAACATCACTATAAATCAAATGAGTGTTTATGTATCAGGTTGTACAAACATTACTATAAATCAAATGAGTGTTTATGTATCAGGTTGTACAAACATTACTATAAATCAAATGAGTGTTTATGTATCAGGTTGTACAAACATTACTATAAATCAAATGAGTGTTTATGTATCAGGTTGTACAAACATTACTATAAATCAAATGAGTGTTTATGTATAAGGTTGTACAAACATTACTATAAATCAAATGAGTGTTTATGTATCAGGTTGTACAAACATTACTATAAATCAAATGAGTGTTTATGTATCAGGTTGTACAAACATTACTATAAATCAAATGAGTGTTTATGTATCAGGTTGTACAAACATTACTATAAATCAAATGAGTGTTTATGTATCAGGTTGTACAAACATTACTATAAATCAAATGAGTGTTTATGTATAAGGTTGTACAAACATTACTATAAATCAAATGAGTGTTTATGTATAAGGTTGTACAAACATCACTATAAATCAAATGAGTGTTTATGTATCAGGTTGTACAAACATCACTATAAATCAAATGAGTGTTTATGTATCAGGATGTACAAACATCACTATAAATCAAATGAGTGTTTATGTATCAGGATATAATTATATCACTATAAATCAAATGAGTGTTTATGTATCAGGGTATACAAACATCACTATAAATCAAATGAGTGTTTATGTATCAGGGTATACAAACATCACTATAAATCAAATGAGTGTTTATGTATCAGGATGTACAAACAGCACTACAGATTGATGATTTTGAAAGGTAAACCAAGGAACAGTGTGGAAGTCACTTCTAAAATCATATCTTGTGCAAAATATTTCATAATACTTAGAAATAATTGTAAAGAAAGAAAGTAAAAGATCAAAACAGATTTCGGCAGTTGAAAACTTTAGGGTGTTTGAACCATAAAAGAATTATAGCATTTCAAAGCCTAGAGTAGAACATCTATTAAAATAGAAATAATCATTTGTAAATGAGGTATTTTGTGTAGTTCAGATCTAATAGGCAGAATCAAATTTTAAATGATGAGAAAATACCACATATCAACCTCGTAAAATACCTACAGATTTATTATTTGTTCTTTTACCCTTAAATATCAAATAATCATATTTAGAATTTGGCATACTGATTTAAACGAAAAAAGAAATCAAAGCATGTTTAGACTGAGCACTGTTTGCTGACTGAATAGATTTAAGAAAAGAAAGTTAGTTGAATTTTGATATCCTTTCATTAAAAACTGAGCCCTTTTTTCCAAATATATTTTAAAAATTTCGCCAAAAAAGCAATGAATACGCCATCAAAAACGTTTAACTCTTATCAATATTATTACATCTATAAGTACAAAGATACTTGAAATTCCAAACAACTGACTCTGTCGTTACACAAAGTTAAGAGAGCAAAACAAAAGAAATTCTCAATAAGTAAATATAGATTCTTTGTCTGTTGTCCGTGTCTGATTTCTTACAATGAGAAATATGAAAGACTAATATAATGATATAAAGAAACCATACTATCAAATATTTATATCTACAGGAGAAATTAGACTGGCATGCCTTCCCCTGGGTTTTATCATACAATACTTACGTCTAATATGACCAGAGTTCACAAAAATGGATTTCTGGTATATTTTTTGTGTGTGTATGGAAACATAACATTAGCAATAAATCTCTAGTCAATTTGATAATTCCAATGAACTTTACATTAACTAGCATAATTTATAAATAATAATCATAAATCATACAATCATAAGTGATAAATGAATCATGCAGTACAAGTTTCCCCAAAAGACTTTCAATTCAAACAAATTATGTAGGAGCAGATTGAATAATGATAGACAATTCTCATTATTTTCATCAAGTTAATAAAATGCTTTGATTTAAAAAATATTTTAGACAAGGCAATTTATTAGCCATTAAAGTAAATATGGATAATTATATTCCTACAAAACAAGATAAAAAACTTAAATAATTCACTGATCAAGAAGATACCATTGTATTGAAATCAAAGTTTACCTTTTTAAGTTGAGCTGTACTATATTTTAAACCAGACATAGAATCATTTTTATCATCACCACTAGCTGCTTGAGATGATTTATGGTCAACTAAAAAAATTAATCAAACATGCAAAATAATGTCATCTATATGTTATTTGAAATACATGGGGGAGGAGAGGAGACATATAACTAGTAAAGACATATACATTCTAACTGATAAAAATCATTGGACTCTGATAACCCCATTTGCAGAGTGGCATCCAGTGTTCTGGAAGCAATACTTGCAACAGTAGGCTACTTGTTTCAAATTTAATAAAGTCTTTGATCTTGGTTTTTAAGTTTAACATTACCAGGTTAGGGTACGTCAATGTCTGACCTAGATCTATTGATAGGTTAGCTTATGTAATATTCCTGGGTACTTACTAGAGAAAGCATGAAGCCAATGTCCTGATACAACATGTTCTATACGACAATAACTTTCAAATGATATATCATCATTATCCTATATAATAAATACAAACCATGTCATGTAATATCATTAATATGTGTCATAATATAGATATATATATATGTATCTTGGGTATATATAGTCAAGCAATTTTTTTGTTGCACTTCTAGGCACAATTAAAAATATCAAATAGATTATTTGGTTGTAATGAAGACATCAGTATCTATTCTGAAACAAGTTATTTGTTTTAAAAAAAAGTTTCTGATGTGTATAGATAACCAACATAACAGAGATTTCATGAATGCATGACAAGATTCTTTATCATGTCTCTAATAAGCTGACACAACAAAAAAGAACAATTGTAACTAATCCCACCAGATACCAATTAATATTAGATTTTTAATTAACAGACAAAAATCAATAAGTAATAAAGTAATTAGAGAAAATATTTACCCTAATGACAGCGTGTAGTCTAAAAACAGTTCGTGGATCTAGATGATCTGTTGTCATAGTGACCTTGCCTGATTCATCTACTGTTAAATACTTTCGTGTACACATGTGAATTATTTTACACTGTTGTTCCCATTTCAATATTCCACCTGGAATTAGGTTACCAGTAAATCTCTAATAAACTAAATAAACTTGGACAGGGAAGATGAAGGTTGTCATAACCATTTCTTACCAATACACATTCTTGGATGTAGACTTTACTCTTTTAGTGTCACAAAGTCTTCTAAAATTCTTGTTTCCTGACAGTCATAACATATCTTACAGAATAATTTTCAGACAAATAACCTAGAAACTATAACTGACCTGCTACAGAACCTTCTTGTAATTCTATCTGCCAATATGTTACAGCTGAACTACTAGGAAACAATGTTTTAGGATTACTTTGGTCGGCTTGTCTCACTCGAAGATGAACTGGAATTGGATAAAAGAGAGATTTATTTTCATAAGCCCAAAAGAAAAGTCACTGTTGGCCTCTCTTGTTTTCTGATCAGAAATTATGTCAAACATGGCAATTTCTGAACATTATGAAAGATATGTCATACCAGCTAATTCTCATATTACGCTTAAGGCATTGGCTGATATCTTTTAAGAGCTAAGCCTCTTGAGCAAGATTTTAATATTTTGAACATCATTAGCAGAAGAATCATATGTTAAAAGTCTTACCATCTTCTACTATTTCATCATCAAATAATCCTTCTGCTACTAAATAAGCCTCCATTTCTTTATGATAAAATCTGAGAATATCACTGACCTAAATAAGATAATGTTACAAAATTTTTGTTACAGTTGTTATAAGACTGATGCCAAGGACCTAGCGGAGGCTTTCAACCCCTATCACTAATCTGAATCTTTTTATATCTGTTGAGCCTGACAAGGGTATGGAATGAGAGAACATTGATGTCAATAAGTATCCAAAGATGATCCAAGATGGTACTTACTTTCACTTTAGATTTATCATCAGGTTCAGGTTTATATTTTCTATATACAGTAAAACCTGATTGTAATACAGATAGGTTCATCTCAAAACTACAATATATAGAATATTTCATTAAATAGATTTCAAATTAGGTTTACATCATCCTCAATGACATGTATTTCATATTAAACTTACTTCAAGTCATTTTAGTGAACATAATCTGCAACTGCGTTAATTTGATGCATGTTTTTTCTCCTCTTTTGCTTTTCCATCCACAGGCAAAGCACACAGGGTTTCCTGTTAACTATAAGCTTTTCTTGTTCAGCCCTTATGATGTTCGTTACAGGCATGGAAGAATTTGGAATCCTGAATCTCAACCTTTTTATAAATAAAGACCTAGATCCCCAAGGCAAATGAGCAAGTATCTGTATCACTCACTGACCTTGGTTTTCTATAAATGGAAAAGGAGTGTTCACTTAAGAAAATCCAGAAAAGATCATAGCCATTAGATTTGTATTCAGATATATATGCATTGTGCATAAAAGGACTTTTCTGAATAAATTCCAGAAGTAAATAAGAAACAACTAACCTTTGTGAATAAACAGATGTTTTTGGTAAAGGTGCTCTACTAACATGTAAAAATTGTCCAGCAGATTTAAAACTTTCTAATACTATTTGATCATCCACTTGTACCACATCACCTTCTGATTTAACTTTATATCTTGGCATGATACGAAACTGACAATGTTTAGCATTATCTGACCGTAATTCAACCTTAAATACATTAATCAATTGGTACTTTTTGAAAGAAAGAGTTCCACACTGTCCTTTTGACTCCAATATACACATTTTAAAAGCAATTTCAACATTTAAATTCTCTCATAGTTTAAAACAGAACTGGAATCTTTGGAAAAGAAGATTCAAGATGAACTAGAGCCACACGTGGCACAGAGTGGGACTTTGCAAATGTAGCAAATTGCAAAAGACTCTGAAAAAATCAACCTTCTACGATAATTACATCACGCGCAAGAGCAGTCTAAAGTTGAGAAGAATTCTTTGGAAGATTGTTATAACGGAAGTAGACAGACCTCACAAATGAAAGTATCAGAAGATAGCCAAGGTCAATGACATTTAACATTGAAAGGGAGAGGGTCAACAAAGGTCAAGGTTACGAGATACAAGTCATCAAAATTTTTAAATATATACGGCTATAAAACCGGAAGTTGAGATAGGACAGCAAATATAAAAGTATAAATAGATAACCAATTTGAATGACCTTTGATCCTACAAAAATCAGGGTCAAAAAAGGTCAAGGTCAAAAATTGAAAATTTTGAATTTTCAAAACCTGTTCCTTTTTTTGAACTATAAAGCTGAAACAATCGAACTTCTAAGACAACGTGGCTCAACGGATGAAGTAATTGTATGCAAAGTTCCATTTTGAACAAATGTATACGTTGCGAGTTAAGTCCCTTGTCAAAATTGTCAATAATGAGTAATTTAACCCGGCCCACCTCAATTTCTTTTGCATAGGTTAATTGATATTCTGAATGTTATGTAGTATCCCAAATTTAAAGCTTCTACATCATACAGGTCAAAAGATATAGGTCAACAAGAGTCAATAAAGGTCAAAATAGAAAATTGAAAATATGGAAATTTCAAAACCCGTTCCTTTTTTGGAACTATAAAGCTGAAACAATTGACCTATTAACACAAACTGGCCAAAATAATGAGGTAATTGTG